GCCTGTAAAAAGATGAGTATTACCATTGCAGTCTCAGTACCTTCTCTTAACTGTCATACAGATATTTAAAAGCATCAGTGATTTGAATCAATATAAATTCTTTTAAATACCACATATACCTTTTCTTCAATGTATTCATATTTTGTAATATAGAAAATCTAGGAAACTAGGTTGATCATTATGTAAAAATATTTTAATGAACTCACAAAATTAACTAAAAAGATAACCTTAAAGTACCACTTTCTGAAGTCTCACATTTGCATTTTTAATTATCGCTAGTAATAATAATATATAAGACTACAAGGAGTTTCATAATTATATATAACTATCAGCTGGAAAACAGATGACTAAATAGATTCCTTGATATTTATCTTCCAATCATATGACATAATCACAAGCTCATTTTACCTCTTATTCTTGAAAAATAAATGTTATTTCTACTGACAATTTAAACAGAAATGAATAAATACTGCTGTAATTAAAAGCCACCTGAGAAAGCATAAGCTATTCATTATCAAATTTGTATTGATGAAATCTGTCTTAACATTATATCCATTACATTTTCTTTAGTCACCAATGAGCATAAAATGACAGGAAATACAGTACTGCCAATTAGAACTACAGGTTCCCAAACTACAGCAAACATATCTTGACAACACAGTCCAACATATTTTTAAAATAGTTAAAGTTCCAGGCATAAATCATTGTGCACGTTTCTGGGTGAAGTCACGGTACACTGTTTCCACTTCACTGATGGATACGGATATGACTAAAAATAGATATACTACATATGCCAATAAATCACCCAACCTACAAAATTAAGTAGGGAACATTCTATGAAATTCTGTGAAATGAAGGGAATCATATACAAATAATACTTGGATAGTTTGATCAGACTCTCAGCTGATCTACTGCAGATTGGAATCCAGCTTCCCATTCCACTGAAAAAAATTATTTGGATAACCCACCAAAACTGCTGAGGCAGCTGGATCAAAGAGGACCCAAAAAGACATATACTGTTCCCAAAGCTTGTAGCAAAAACAATGTGTTAGGCCTTAGGGCTCCTTCTTTAGTTTTGAGCTGCTGTACTGGGACTAAGCATTCACACTGTTGGCTGGAAAAATCAGTATCCTTCCTCTGTGTAAATGAAATTACAGATCTTTTAATTACAGACCCACAGATGGCAAAGATGCTCTCTTACATGTTCAGCCAGGACTAATTGGAACTGCCCAAGAGAAGGAGTCAAGGATAGATTCTTCCTTCAATTCCTGATCTACTCTATCCAAAATTGTCAAGACTATTTGACGTTAAATTAGTAACTGGAACAGCCTCCAGACAAAAAGAGGAGAAGCAGTCATAAACCTTTCTAAAAAATATGTTTTGATGCAGAATAGGAAATTATGACAATTATCTGTGTTCCTTATAAAGTTTCCAGGAGTTTGAGGTCTTTGAAATGTCACCATCTAAAAACCACAAAAAAATCTCCAAGAATATTCATTAAAACAGAATATTCATGAAAGCAGGCATATTTTGTTTGTCATGTACCTGGCACTAACTGAAACTCAACAATCAAGATGGAAACATACCAAAGAAAGCACTGTAACATACATAATCCCAGAAAACATCCGGCAAATTATGAGAAGTTAAAGTACATCAAGTCAGGCTTTCATCTGTCTTCAGGTTTTTGATCAGGGTATAGTTTGTTACGAGAAACAGTAAATACATATTTACACGTGCATATTCTGTGGCTTACTTTACAACCTACTCAAGTTAATGTCACAATATAAAATCATGACTCAAATATATTACTTATTTAAATAGTTGTAATGAATCTCTATTATACAATGACCACATGCATTAAATTAATTTTAAAAAATCTGAAACAGCATCTGATAGAATGTGTTAAGATTACAAAATGCATTTTGATACTAGTAATTACACAGAGAGTAATCGTTCATAATTTACTTTCCTTTCAAAATACACAAAAAAAAGGCATAAGTGCTATGCTTATTGAATTATTATACCTACTTATACTCATGGTATTTGTTTATATATTTGTGTGACCAGAAACACATGTATTGTATGTATATGTATTGGCACATACACATGTATACACATGTACATATCCACTAAGACGCAGTGAATTACATTCCCATGGTTTGTGCCTTCACGTGTTCCTTGTATTTTTAAATGGTAAGCTATTGTCTGTCGGAACAATGTTTCCTCATGCTGTTGATGAAGTGTGTAATACAAAGGGGCTCTGACTAACTTTTGTGTGCTATTGTGATACAAATGTGCAATAATGGTCCCTTGTGGGCATTTTTCTAATATCAGTGAATAAAGCATGATGACTCTTCCAAAATTTAGTAAAAATTTATGATGTTGCTCAAGTTTTGAAAATGTATTTTCCTACAATGTGTATGTCAAATTAGAGATATGTGAATTATCCTATGGGATTAAAGTTATGCACAAATTTTTGAAATTTGTTACCAACATTTTGCATATCAGCTTACCAAAACTTCTGTAAGAGGAAAATGAGAAGGCAAATTATAACAGAATAATAATATCAGGAACACACAAGCATCAGATATTAAACTCATTCCTTTTCACTCTTTAGTTTTATACCTCATGTCTTTTTATTCTTTTTTGTCTTATTTGTACTTTTACATAAAAACTAAAGACATAACAAAGACAAAAGAAATTCATCGTACATTTTAACTAGATTACTTCTTAAATATTCATTACCATGATGTGTTCCAGTTTGAAAATCTAAAACTGTTCTAATTGTTTCACTTCCTAGGGCATCCCCTTTCAAAAGCAGTGATTCTGTTATTTAACAGATAACACATGTGTACTTGCTGGTTTGCTGTTGATCATATGACTTCCCCCCCATTTCCCAATTTAAAGAAATAAAGAAGGAATATATAGAATGTGCCTTTTAAATTTTTTTTATTTAGTTGTTTATGAAGGAGATGGATTGGACTTCAAATTTTCTACCCAAGGACTCACTACCAACTGGTGAAGGTTAAGGGGCTTGAATGGAGGAAGTTTATTTCCACCATGCAAAGGACAGGTCTGTGTTCTCTCTTAATATATGGTATCCACAAGATTTATGGATACAGAGTGAAAACATACTACCTTATTACAGAAAGAACTCCCATTGCAGAACAGACCCAAAGAAAGCTATTCCATGCAAAAGAGGAAGAAATGCTCAAAAGGTGAGAGAGGGGAAATGGGAAACAAGGGAAGAAATAATTGATAACACACCTCTGTGAAATTATCATGCAGTTGCTTTTCTCTGTAGTAGATAACATGCAAAGTGTTATCCAAATCTAAATTTAGAAACTCCTAGTTCTGTCTGATGGTATCTCACATACATAAATGCTCTGTGTTGCACTCTGCTTCTAATTCACAACCTAGTATTTTCTGGACGTACCATCTGAAGTAGCAATGTCTCCGGTAGAAGGACAATTTTATATTTAGGTCAAGCAGAATAGTATTGTCTGAATTGAAGGTTCAGCAGATTGCATGTGAGCATCCATGACTGGTGAAAAAAATCTCTGTTTATTAGCTGGCCAAAGGAGTACAATGGTCATTGAAATGAAAGATAATCGAGAATGCCACTAATGTGCTTGCCTTTTGATATCTGATCTGCCTTGTTACCAACTCTCCATAGATTCAAGAAGTAATTTCAGTATGCATACATTGGCTTTTAAAAACGAAGCGAAATGTCTCCAGGCAGGAAAGCTAAACTAAACCTACACTGACTTTAGGGTACTGAACTTTTAAACAAGCTTATCTCTGACATGGTTTTGAACATTCACACTACTATTTATAGGCTTGGACATCCAGTGTTTTGCAGGCAGTCTGCATGTCCTGTTTCTTCAGCATATGATGCATTCTGACATCTATAAGCATATGCCACAGGAACGTACATGAGACAGTGGGAATGCTCAATCAGTCACAGTATACACAGACTCTCTATAGTCCAGGTAAATTCATGCTTGGATACAAGGCAATAAGAGTGCAAAAATATTTCCTCTTCAGAATTCACCAAGATTTGTTTCTAAACAAATATGAGCATGGGCTCATGAATGTTAGGCAAATCTGGGCTTTCATATAGTTAGGTTAATTGATTGAATCCCACTTCAGGTATATTGAGATTGATTTCACACCTGTCTCAGACATGTTCTAATTTTTATCCTCATGCAGTGAACGTTAATACAGTATCATTTGTAACTTTACTTTGTAGAATTGAGAATAGATCAGGCAGCATATGACTATGTCTTTGAAAAAGATAAAAAGATAGAGGTGAGGACTTTCCGAGCACATTATTGAGTTGCAAAAGGAATCAAAACAGTATATATACAAACAGTGTCTCTGGTCCTTCTTCTTACAAGAAGGACCTTTTTACAGAAACCAATGATAGTTTGAGCATGAATTTCAACAGTGAAAGAGCTACATCAGTATTTAAATATTTTTTGAAAACAAATTTTATATTTACATGCTGAAGCTTCTTTCCTCATCTTATGTCAAATGGTGTTATTTTAGGGAATATCTATTAAAGTAGCTTCCTAAAAACACATTAAGGATTGTCAGGAATTAATGGCAAGCTTGAGAAAAGGTGACAATGAAATGAAGGATTCGGAGGCATATTTCATTTATAAAATTTTATTCTAAAGCTTTGTATTTTATACCTCTGTGACATGCTTTGACATTTTTTATGATGAAGATTTAATAATAAAAATGATAAATAAATAAGTTAGGCTCCAGCTCCATATGAATTAAGCTCTAGGAGCACCCTCTGCCCTCCACAATGAATTGAAATTGAAATGTTTTGCTGCTGTAACTTGAGATACACAGAAACAGATAAGGACATTAAACTTCTGCTTTCTTCTATTTGTGCACATTGTTTTACATTTCAAGTAGGCTTGCTTAAAAGATATTGCAAGATATATATGCTTATATGCATTGGGATAAAGTGAAATACTTGTTCATACCTTCAAAGTATCCAGCATTTATAGACTGTGTCTTCCTTGGTGATTTCACAGGGAGATGTTTATTTTCATTGTTTTTGAACAACGCCAGGCGCACAGCTGGGTCTAGATGACAAGAACAAGTTAAAATCAAAGGTCAGACCTGGCTCATTCATTCCTTCAAGCAATTTTTCACCTTTTAGCCACTTAATAAATGAAAATATCTTAAAAAGTAGGTTATATATTCACAAAGGATTACACTTTCTAAATAAAGCAATATAAATACACATGCAACTGAGAATCAAAGTCACTATTGTGCAGGATTTTAACACTGTTGATCTTTTAGTTTGCTCATCTCCAAATTAAAAATAAACTCTAAAGCATACATTTCCATTTTTCAGAACTTAGCCAGATTAAAACAAAACAAAACAAAACAGAACCTATTATTCCACATACTAACTTTAAAGCATACATTTGCAGAAAATATTTTTTTTAAAAATCTAGTTTTAAAGCTTGAAATTAAAGCAAAAATATTAACAGGATCCATGCCAAGCAGTATTTCCAAAAGCTTTGGTCCAGAATGATTCAGCAGTCTAAATCAAGACATATATATCTAAAAAATTTTAATGAGACAGTTTATTTTTTCAGGCTCAACTTGTAGATAATAATCTAGTCTTCCTCCATATCCCATCCTAACTGAAATAAAAAAATACCCCAGAAGTCTATAGATTCATCTATATGCCAAAATATGAAATCTTGATTAGTTTCTTAACTATTATTTTGAAAACTTTGCAAAGAAGCAAAGATGAGCACAGAATTGTATATAAATCTAGATAAGACATGTTCCTACACTGGCAGAAAAATATAAACTTTAACTAACAAAAGGTAAACTGATGTAAAACCCACAAGTCAGGAGAGGTGATTCTCACGCATTATTTCTGAAGTGAACTAAGAACTGTTTGCTTGGCATAGGAGGAAAGAAGGAACTCAAGGGAAACAGTGCATTAGAAGGAATGTGAAAATTCTGAGCACAGTGCAGAATAAACTGCCAGTTATTAAAAAAAAAAAAAAGGGACTGAAAAGAATATACAAACAAAAGCAGATGCACAATGACAAGTAAAAGCATATAGGGTTTTGTATGTATGCCACTGAGCATGATAACATGAGTAACAGAAAGCCAAAGAAAAACTAAAAGAAATATGTTTGACATGGTTCAAAGAAGACAATAGCCCAAGCAGATATATCCGCTCTTGACAATATCTGAGAAATAATGACACAGAAGAAGTTTGTCTACAAAGGTGACTACAAATTCTCTGAAAGGGTAGAAATTAATAACAAGGAGAAAAAAAGCAGTGGAGCTTACCAGGAAGGTGGATATGGCAAGGGAAAGATCTAAATTTCTACAGAGAATACAAGTGTAGCAAAAATGAGTATGTGAGACACTGCCAGAACAGACAGAGCAGGAAAACAGAGGTTATGGAAAGACTCAAAGAGCATTCAGACATAATAGATTTAAATGACTGCTTATGTCTGGTGCTTCATTTTGAGCCTTTTTAGTGTTTATTTAGAGAGTTCATAAGAGAATCTATAATAATGCAGCAAAGTAAGTAGCTTGTTTGTTTGTTTGTTTTCTTATTTCTAGAAATAAAGTATCAGAATGTCCTGTTAAGTTGGTAGGCAACTTCTTATGAATTTTAACAACAATTTGTAAAGTTGGTTTTGATTAGAACTCTATATTTGTAGTAGACAATTCAACTTCAAACTAATAGAACTTAAAAGGATTCTAGAAGCTCAACTTTTTCCAGAGAATGCTGTCTTGACTCAAGCAGAGATATTGTATGTAAGTTTGCCTTCTAAGCTCGGAGAAGTTGTCTAATGGGGTGTGGCACTTCAAGAGATAATGTATTGACAAAACTCATCTGAATGTTATGGTGTTCTTGGTCAGCCCACACTGCAGCAGCATGTGGTTGACAGAATGTTCTTAATGGTGCTAACCTCTTACAAAGCAACAAGCTTGACTAATGAAGGAATTGTGGCAAGTGGGGAGGGAAATAATTAATGAAATGATCCAGGAAGCACAAAAAATAATGATTAGCTCCATTAGTTTTAAAGGTAGATCATTAGAATGATTCTGATAATGAGATCACTTCATTGACAAACTGGATTACCAGGCTTGTAGGTATTTTCACTTTGTGTAAATGGATAAAGTAGCCTTACTTTGGCATGTCTTCCAACTGAAAAACAAATCAACAGCAGACTAATGTTCTCCAGGGTAGTAAATATTTGGTACAGTGAATCACAGTAAGATTTGTGCTAAAAATACCTTGAAATAGTAATACATTGTATTTTAAAAGTTCTCTCTGAAATTTTAGATAATAGAAGTTACAAAAAATATTTTAAGTAAAGTATGAATTAGTATTGTCTTTTCTATAGTTGTAAGATACATGGTCATACAAGTCCTACACATGGATAAAAACGTACAGGATAAAAATTTTTATAATTGTAATTTTCCCAACATTCAGCATACAGTGTTGATAAAAAGACTTCTAACTTCTTTCAGCTTTATGCCAGTTAGAAAAACCAGTGTCTTTCTTCAATAGAAGACCAAATACAAAGTGACAAAATCAATTAAAACCTCTTAAGACAAAATGCAATTGAAGATTCCAAAGTATTTTAGATTACTGTAAAATAATTCCTGAAATTACACATTTTTTTCCTATGTGAGTCTATCGACATTGTTCCAAGCGGTTTTAAAAATGTCATCTTTCCTTAATCCAACCTCCCACTCAATTCTATTCTAAACACCAACAAATCCAAAGTTCAGTTATACCATGGATTTTGGGTGAAGTCACACAAAGTTATTAGTGCCAAGCTCGATTTTTCAAACATTTATCTGTGCACAAAGATATCAGCAGTAAAGAAGGTCTGTGAACCGGGAAGAGGGGTAAATAATGGAAATTTTTCTTCTAAGAGATTTATATCAGCAGATTTATCTTTGAATCTTTGCAAAATAACTTAAATAATCTACAGGGATTTAACACAGTGCCAGACTACTCGAATTTGTACCTACCTGGATCACCTCAACCATTGCCTACAGCTCTTTTGTTATTAAAAATGAGTCCTTTTCTTTACTTACTCCAAAATGTAGGCAATATTACATAGATTACTTCATAATACTAGTGCTTTTCAGTCTCTGAGTGAACTAGGGAAATGAGCTGCATGTATGCTTTGATGACAAGCAATCAAATGTTTTAGATTTCACACAGAGAACTGTGAAAGAGTCCAACAGTTCAAAATCATACAAATATCTTACTGGATTCTGGCATACTAATTTAAATGTGGCTTATTAGATGATGATCTGGGCTGGCAATCTATAAACCAGGGAGGTAATTTAATGCACATTGCTTGGCTGCCTCCAAATATAGAAGTTAAGTTGGACAAACACAAGAAATGTTATGGAAACAATATGGAAGGAATAGTTACTGCCTGATCTGGCACCACATTTCTGAACAACTTCTCGATAATATTGAAACTGAAAAAATTAAATGTTTGTCATTCATTTTGTTGTGCAAAATTTGTAACTAGGAGAACACAAGTATAACTGTGACAACTTTAAAGGGTTGATAAATCAAAGCAGCACACAGCAACATATAGCAACAAATGCTTATCTATAAGATAATTCAATTTGTAAATTAATTTGGAAGAAAGACCAGATTTTGTTCCATAATTGAACAGCAATTAGAACTCCAGCTAATCTATGGCTGGAGTTCTCAGATGATACTGCTACATGGAATAGACAGGCACAACAAAAGTAGCTTTCTTTCTGCTACTAAGAAAATGTACAACAATGGTCATTTATGTAATGTGTAACAAGGATTAATAATATACCCCAAATTTTTATCCTGACTGTTGTTAAGTCAGATCATCTGTTTTGGGCTTGTGGGTTTTGAGGGAAGTGGGTTAAGTTTTTGGTTGGTTTTTCTTTATTTCATTTTTTAATTAGGATTGCATTGCTGTCTGAAATTCTAAACACAAACTAAAAAATATTTGCTGACCTCTGTGACATATCTTTTTTTATTGTGCTCTGCTTCTAGTGAACAAGGCCCACTTCAGCTGCTTTTTACCTTCCTTTTTTTTTGTCTCCAACCTATGTGGCATCAAGAATTACCATAGAATCATAGAATCATTAAGGTTGGAAAAGACATCCAAAATCATCAAGTGCAACCTTTGACTGAACACCAACATGCCAACTAAAGCATAGCACTAAGTGCCACATCCAATCATTCCTTGAATACTTCAAGGGACAGTGACTCCTCCAAATCCCTGTGCAGCCTGCTCCAATGCTTAAACACCTTTCAGTGAAAAAACTTTTCCTGATGTCCAGCCTAAACCTCTCCTGGCAACACTTGAGGCCATTTCCTCTTGCCTGTCACTTGTTGCCTGGGAGAAGAGGCTGACCCCCACCTGGCTACAACCTCCTTTCAGGTAGTTGTAGAGACCTGAGACTCCTTTTCTCCAGGCTAAATAACCCCATCTCCCTCAGTCTCTCCTCATATGACTTACTCTCTAGACTCTTCACCAGTTTTGTTGCCCTTCTCTGGATACGTTTCAGTACCTCGCTGTCTTTCCTGTAGTAAAAGACAATCACTTCCCTGGTCCTCCTGGCCACGCTATTCTTGATATAGGGCAAGATGCCCTTGGCCTTCTTGGCCACCTGGGCACACAGCTGGTTCATGTTCAGCTGGCTGTCGACCACCATCTGCAGAGCCTTTTCTGCTGGGCAGCTTTCCAGCCACTCTTCCCCAAGCCTGTAGCTCTGCATGGGTTGTGGTGACCCAAGTGCAGGACCTGGCACTTGGTCTTTTTGAATCCCATACCACTGGCCTCGGCCCATCGATGCAGCCTGTCCAGATCCCTCTGCAGAGTCTTCCTACCCTCCAGGAGATCAACACTCTAACCCAACTTAGTGTCATCTGTGAACTTAGTGAGGGTGCCTGTGATCCCTTCATCCAGATCATCAATAAAGATATTAAACGTGACTGGGACCAATGCTGATCCCCGGGGGACATCACTAGTGACTGTCCAGCCAACTGGATGTGGCACCATTCACCATGGTCATTCAGCCAGTTTTTAATCCAGCAAAGGGTGCATCTGTCCAAGCCATGGGCAACCAGCTTCTCCTGGAGAATGCTGTGGGAGAAAGTATCAAAGACATTACTGAACTCCAGGTAGACTACAACCACAGCCTTTCGCTCATCCACCAGGCAGGTTACCTGGTCATAGAAGCAGGACCTGCCTTTTCTAAACCTGTGCTGGGTGGGCCTGATGCACTGACAAGAGACTATTTTTTTGGAGAGGAAAAGGTTAAACAAGAAGTACTACAGCAGTGTAAGAGAGACAAGCTGAAAGTAAGACATGGCTTTCAGCCATCTTAAAAGAAAAAGAAGTGAACTTTCAGCGGCTAATATAAAATTCACAGAAACAAGGAAATTCCAAGTTAAGCAAGAAATTCTGTACTGCTGTGCCAAGACATCTTTAGGAAGCTAGGATTGTTATGAGTCACAGACACTTAATGTTAAAGCACAGTGAGGTGCATTAATGACTGCTTTATTTAGATTTTGAATTAGAATTTGTATAGAATTTTATGCGCCCATGATAAACAGAAATATTTCTGACATTATGCCAGTTTTACTTGGCTGAAAATTTTCTGGTTCCTTGCCCACGCTTTTTGTATTATCTTACTGTACAGTAAAAATAGCATACATTTGGTATTATTAAAATATAGGCCCCAACTTTATTTAACTACATAAACAAGCATACATAACTGTAGTGGATTAGGGCATAACAGACCTTAAGGCCATTACTTGGTGGGACTGGTCTGCTGCAATATAAGCTTTAACTGAATCACTCCCTATTATAAGGTTATGCTACTTTAAGCTCTTCCTTGTAATACAAACCACAGGATTCAGTGCACTTGCTAGTATTTTCCATTTTTTTTTCTCTACTGAGAAAGTATGTGGCCAGACATATGAGGTAAGATACTTCTACATTTTAACTCTGTCCTTCAGCAAGTCACTCTAGGTTTTGTGTCTAGGTAATGGAGAACCATAAGTG